AAAAAAAAAAAAAATTGTGGTTTAACTATAATAAAATACAGGGAGATGCTACGGTCCAATTACAGAACCATTCTGTCGGAATTTGTAATCGGTAGATCAACTATTTCCGACGACGATTACATGATAATCTAACGGTTACAAACTCAATGGAATAATTTCGTAACGGGGCCTTAGCATTTCCCCAAAATGCAATATACCACCATAAGAACTTTCTTGGATGCCTGCCGTGGAAAACATTGGCCCAACTGGCGGTGAGACTTGGTGGAGTTGTTGTAAGAGAATAAAAAAGGTAACTGACTACAGTCAAAGACAGCCATTTATCACAATCCAATTTGAGATCTTGAAATCCATTGCATTATTGCATGTGTGAAAAAGACTTGCAAGTTGCATGTTGATGGAAATTTAATCCCTACTTTCTTTATAAATTTTCATAGGCAAGCAAAATAATTTGAAGTAATTTTTTTTTTCTATTTATTTTGTTGTTAATTAGTTGAACATGTGCTAAGAGAAATGCTAAAGTCTCGTTATGGTATCATCTCGTAGGATGTTTTAACCGTTGGATCATCTATCTTATCTAACTACATGGGAATCCAACGGTTAAAACACCTGACGAAATAAGATGTTTTAACCGTTGGATCATCTATCTTATCTAACTACATGGGGATCCAACGGTTAAAACACCTGACGAAATAGTGCGACAACTGGATCGTAACATTTCCCCATATATAATATATGGTTAGTGTTGTGCAGTTGTAAACCTCTTTATTTGAACATTGTTAGACATACAGTTTATTTCAATTATATTCTTTGAGAATTTTTATAATTTATCCATTTAGAATTTTACTTGTGCTTTTTCTACAACTCAAGACCACTGTGCAAGAATAATAATAATAATAATAATAATTTTATTCAGAACTTTTATGGTAATTTATGCTCAACTCATTTGTAACTAACTTTGTAGCCAAAATCTTATTGCAAATAATTCAGACTATTTCAGGAGGAGAAGGGGCATTTACCTAGGAAATAAATGGGATAGAGGAAGCAAGCAAATCCAGAACAAATTCAAATCCAAACTCAACACAATCTCAGACATCAGCAACAAAATGATCCCAAGAAAGTAACACAAAACCTCCCAAAAAAAATCCTAGATAAAAAAATTCGTGTTCTAAGCCTCCTAGCAAAAAGTTGATTCGTATGCCAAGCACATACGAAATCACTTACATGACGCACATAGAAGTCATCAAGAGACGAGATTGTCATTGAGCGAAAGGGACGCAAGCTGATCAGCAGGAGAGTTGGACTGCTGGACATTCCTCAGGACATCCATAGCCTCGGCTACTTTTGCTTTGAGAGCTTCAGGTGATTCCAACAGATGCAGAACTTCTGTCTGGTCCATCTCCAGAAGCATGCCTGTCACTTTTGCAGCGTGCTCGTGCTCCAGCTGGTCAACCTGTGGGTAGAGGTTCTCACCCAACATCTGCAGTAAAAATCACACATTTGATACATTTACTTGGAATATATCTGGCCTGAAACAAACTATGAATGACAACAAAGAACACGAGTTGATTCATGGGAGACAATGAACAAAATTTACAAATTGCTTGCACCAGCTGAGCAAGTGATTTTCCTAAAAACACGCCAGGAAAAGAAAAATTATGGTTGGATTGCAAGAGCGCAAAGGAGATGGAATTTTCCTTTTTATTTCCCTTTTACCGTTAACCTAATTAATAAATCTTGAGCAGAAAGCTCACCGTCCTCTGCTGTTCGGGAGTTGCATTAGCAAGAGCAGAAGCAAGTGCAGTAATCGGCATAGGCGGCGGAATAGCAGCAGTTGCATCCCTAGGAAGCATGCCGTCCATGTCATATGGCACAGAGAGTATCCCGCCGGGAACACCAGGCATGGGCCCATCTTGCATGCTACGAACCGGAGGGTACCGGTGCATCCTCCCCCTCGGCACCATCTAAGAATTAATTATTTAGAAGATAAACAAATAGTTTGGTAGCAAACGATGAACTAGCTATTACAGGGTAAAACATTATTTGCGATTGATTTAGCATAAATGGAAGCACGCCTATCTTACTTGCGATTGTACTAGCGGCACAGGATGCTGGGGTTGTTGGACTCCACGTCTGCCACCAGGACGCTGGCCCTGCTGACCCTGCTGGACAAGCGGTACAAAGAAATTTGGAATGGGGCCACCAGGGCGCATCCCAGGTACCAGCTGCTGCTGATAGCCAAATCCAGCCTAGCAAAGTCACCAAAAGCAACACGCAAAGTGTTGTTCAAAATTTTTCTCTTATTCCAACCACATACACATAACAAATGCTAATGACCAATCGATATGATATATGCTAGAAAATCCATTGTATGTCTAAGAAAATGGGCAGAAAATTTTACCTGGTGAGGTATCATAGCAGGAGGTTGTCCATAAAATAGCTGCTGACCAATACCAGGAGCACCAGGAGGATACAAAGGCATACGGGGTGCAATTGATGATGGCATAACAGGCCTCACTTGGGAAAACTGAGCCTGTAATGACAAACAAGTTACAGATGGATTCACCTTCAGGATCATGTATCCTTTACACAACAGCAAATAGCAAAAATAATTACAGCTTTAGCAGTGTAGGTTCAGCAATAAATAAAGCAGACATCCAAATGATTCTAACCACACCATAAATAACTCAAGGAAATTCATGAACCCTATTTTTATGAACATGTGGAGGATGTCAAAGTTTTCTTCCAGAAAGAAATGACACAAGCATTTAGCAGAAATATACAAAATGACTGTGGTACCAAAGATAGAAGGAAGGGCATATAATGCCCCATTCCGAAATTCTGACAAGCTAATGATAGGTGGCTAAAAACAATACTGGAAAACATATATTAATTTTATCAAATCACTAAGCCATTCAGTAAAATTAGAGCAACTCTAGTTGATACTGCAAAATTTATTTGCCCATGAGTAGTTCTATCCCATTAACAAACGCATAAAATACAGACACTAAAGAAAATTTAGGCACAGATATTCAACTGCTGCCAAAATTGGCTCCGGATATTCTTCAGACACAACATTTACCTGTAACCTTGCCCTTCTCTCTTCTTTACGCTGTGCAAGCGCAACATAGAGTGGCTTGCTGATCACCATTTTGTTGTTCATTTCAGAAAGCTAAATCACAAAAGCAACAACCAGTTAGGTCATTATATAAGGAAATGTCATCTAGAAATGTATATCAACTCACAGCTCGAGAAGCTTCTTCTGGAGATGAAAAGGCAACAAAACCAGATCCTCTGCTAATCCCATTAGGATCGCGCATAACCTGCAACCATGGAAAGATTAACTTCAGTGGCTAAAGCCTAGGAACAAGAGAACTTTGAAGATTGAATCCACAAATCTTGCAGTCCACAAATCTTGCAGTAAATCACATGCAAAATTACCTTGCAAGAAGTGATACTACCAAATTCTGAAAACAGTTCTTTCAGTTTCTCGTCATCAATGCTATCATCCAAATTTTTTACATACAAATTAAGCCCTTGAAATTTGTCAACAGTTTCCCTAGTAGTCTGCTCAAAACGAGTTTTCAGCTCTTGCTCCCTCTCAAACTTCTTCTGGGCTTTCCCCACATACCACTCCTTATCATCAATTTTCTTCCCATTTAGAGCTTCAACAGCTTTAGCAGCATCATCAGCATTTTCGAAATTGACAAATCCAAAACATTTTGACTTGCCATTAGCATCTCTCATCACCACGGAACTGGTGATTGTTCCGTATTCACCAAAAATTTTCTTCAGATCGTCATCAGTAGTAGATTCGGCCAAATTTTTCACAAACACATTATTGAACTTTGTCTTGATAATTGCAGTTTCTCTCTCCTGCTTACGAAGGAAATGCCCAACATACACTTGCTTATCATTAATAAGCATGCCATTCAATTTATCTATAGCATTTTGTGCAGCTTCTTCCGTTTCAAATTGGACAAATCCATAGCCTTTGGATTGTCCATTAGGATCTGTA